AAAAAAAAAACGAAAAGTAGGATGAAACGGTGGGGACACGCTCGGTTCTCCACAACGCTAATGTAGGTGTGACCGTTCTCAGATCTTTTTGAGGCCTCTGGTCGATAATGCGACGAGAGAATCGTGACCGCGCGGTGAGAAAAATCATGGCCGCCGCATTGTTGAGTTATTCTATCGGGAGTACAGTTATGCTCACTGAGAGTATGTTGTTAAAGTGTTACTTTTTGTTAGATCCTTTTTGTAGAGTCGTTAGAAATCGCACCGCTTCGCCATTTCGATCATCGTCTCGACGTGGAGTTTATACGACGTCGCGGTACGTTGCGCAAACTATTTGGCGAGAAAAAAAAGACCTAACCCGAGGTGAGATGTCTCGTGTCTCCATAGATTTGAATTTTGAATGGAATCTTTGAAATGTTCCTGAATTAAAATCACTTTTTATTACTCTTCGTTCGCGAAATGACATCTTCTTAATCTTCTCGTGCTTAATTAGATGACTGGCCGTATTAGACACGTATAAATTAATGATTTGACATAAAAAACGTTTAACTACGGCCGTAAATAAAAGCCTTTGAAATTATTATTTGAAATGTTATTTTCATCGTTTGAGGAAAATACAAGAAGATTACTCTATATTCCTCTTGTAAGTCGTGACGTTTGATCTCGCCGCTTATTGCACACACATTCCGTCGTATATGAGGAACAATCACACATCGACAAATAAAAATTACGTAATCTCAAAATGAAAAACACTTCGAAAGCGTATCATGATCGTAGGATTATATACCTTATTTTTTTATCGTGTCCTTTTTCTAACGACCACAGTACTTTCTCTTAAATTCCAGAATGCTACTTTCTAGTATGCGAGCGAGCTTTATGAAATGCTTTATGAAATTGATCAATATTGCTCAATATTGATCTTGATACGTAATTTTACATTTAAAAGAAACGGATTAATTTAATTTAATTCACAAGACTTTCATTTTATTCAAAAGAAAATTTCGAACTTTGAAGAATTATTATTTAAATAAATGTAGCGCGTTTATTCGAATACAAAAGACATCGTGACGGTAATGATATAACACTGATAAAATGTCTCGCTGAAAAGAAAATTCATAATTATTTTATTCTTCTGTCCTCAATCAATTCTGGAGAGCGTCTGCAACGACGACATTGTAGCGTCGTAAGCATTTATTTATGCACGTCATTTATTCCATCGCCGAGCTCGTTATTTATGCAATTCTCGCGTAGCAATTACAGCGACATCCCGACGACCGCTGTAGAAAAAAAAAATGGAGTAGCTGAGTGACGTACGAAATGACACGGAAAGTGAAAGCGCTCTCTCGGAGAGAGGTGAAGGGAAGAAGAAGAGGCGGGAGGGGGGGCTCTCGCCTCAATTCATCGAAGCGGAGAATGCTCGATATTGCTTAATCCGCTCTCTCGCTACCTTATGCCCTTCGCAATAGAAACAACGACACGCGAGAGAACTCGCGTCCCTCGCTCGTTTAATTCGCCCTGCTGAATTATGAACGAAGCGCGGGGAAGGAAGGGAGAACGGGGGATGGTGCAGTTGCATCGAGCACGTGCACGTGTTCACATACAGGTGCATGTCCATCCTCGGGTCATTCCCTCGACCAATTGTTTTTCCGTTTGCTCCCCCCTCTCTCTCTCTCTCTCTCTCTCTCTCCTCCCTCCTCCTCTCTCTCTCTCTCTCTCTTCTCTCTGACATACTCCTTCTCTTTTTCTAATTCTTCTTGCAAGCTCTCGCAACCCTTCTGCAATTTCGCGCGCGTGCCTCGTAAAAGTTTCAGCCAGACGTGCGACAAACTTCGGCGAGAAAGTTCGTGCAGCACGAGCGGTGACTTGCTGAAACATTAATTCGTCATTTCCGAGTATTAATTCTACGTGCGCCATCCACGGGCGACGTACCTGCGACGACGATTGGACGACGTGTCTCGTATTGTCGAAAGCACGAAAGCGTGCAAGCACGTTGATTTAATAGAGGCAAATATTATTAGCGATTGCGTGGAGACACGAAATTACAGAAATGATTATTGCCAATGTAGTCAAAAGGATATTTTCTTATTGATGTCTTCCTGACGGAAGATCGTATACTTTTGTCAATTTTAGAAACGCGTTATCAAATTCTGATATTTCCATTTTTTGCCGTGCGAATTTACGATATTTTTTTAATGCGGATAATTTCCCGATATTTATTTTTCTCGAACTTCCAAAGATATTTATAAACTCGCGTTTAAATTCAATCGATCGTCATTATCGGTTAACATGGTTAACATTGAATTATTTTCCGATGTTCTTTCGACGTTCTTTCGACGTTCTTTCGCATGCATAATACACGCGAGTTCCTATTACATACCATTTAAAAGAGAGGCCGCTCATTCGGTTGGCAGGTTCTTAGAAGCGATTAGACGTAATTCAGCCTTGCCGCGGCATTATACTGTCGCCGTCACGAGACCTTCCTTCCATCGTCGAAAATTGTTGCACAAGAAGAATGCGAGGCCTTCGCCCGTTATGTTGCGGCAATGCGTCGAAAGTCGTGCAACTGCCACCGGCTTTCCTTCCTACGCGGCTATGCCGATCAAATCCGCTGGCTCCGTTACGTCAGGACCTTGGGGCGATGTAAAATTAAATGCATGTCCTATTTTTACGTCCGCAACTCGCAGCGCGGATTAGTCAACTCGTATCGGCGAGCGTATTATTCCGCGCGCGCGCGCCGTTATCATTAGCGGAATAACGGAATAATTCTAATTCTGGCTTTCGCCCGATCTTTCCGATTTAAATAGATTTACATTTTTATTCACGATGCAAACCGAGAGAGAGATCGGGTAGATCGCCCGACCTTTTGTGCATGACGATAAAAGTGGCTATTTTCGAGACGTGAGAAAATAGCGGGTTCCCTCCGAAGACAAGTCGGCAGATCCCTCGTGAGTTATGGGTTTAGGCAGTTTGGATGTTCCCGAGAGAGGATGCGAAAGACTTGGCTGCTATGTGTGTCATGGCCAGGCGCGGTGTTTTAGAAAGAGAGTTAGAAGAGCGTGAGTCGGCCGTTCTACTCGCTGCAAATTATCTTCGTAGAAGAAAACGTCCGTTTCATGCCCGTCCGATAGACGGTGAAAGAGATAGGCGGCACACTCTGTCACGGGCGAGAAAAAAAATTGCAATTTTCGTGTTCGCTGTGCGAGCAAAAAAATTACAGGGATACAAAAGAATATTTGTGCGCGTAAATCCATGATTGACATTTACGAATATTTGGCGTAGCGTTTAACGGGAATGCGGCCAGAGAACGGCATGAGAGAGAGAGAGAGAGAGAGAGAGAGAGAGAGAGAGAGAGAGAGAGAAAGAGAAGAGAAATTCTTACGGTTCGTATTGATCGATCGAGGGCGGTAGTATGCGGTGGAATCGCAGTAACCCGAATTAGAGAGGCCGCCTGTTCGACTACGACCTAAAATTGTTCGATTATTCCGTAGATTGCACGAAATTA